GAGCCAAGTTACATTTGGGGCGGAGGGATTTCTAAGCGGTAAGAGAAGAAAGTCGAAGAACTTGAAAAATGGCATCGGTGAAAAGTTCGAATGTTTCCGTCGAACCTTTCGATGGACGTGGTGATTTTACTCTGTGGCAACAACGAGTAAAAAGTGTTCTTACTCGGGAAGGGACAATCAAAGCTCTGAAGGTGAAGGTTCAGAGGACAGAAAAAATGACGGATGCTGAGTGGGCCAAACACCGGAAGAACGACAAGCCGGAAAAATTGTCGGAAGAAGAGTGGGAGGATTTGAAGGACATGGCAACAAGTACAATATGCCTATGCCTTGCAAATAATACTCTTCGGGAGATTCTCGGTTTGACGGACCCGGTGGATATTTGGGACAAGCTGGAGAGCCGGTACAATTCGAAATCGTTGACAAGTAGGCTATACTTGAAGAAACGATTGTTTGGTCTCCAAATGGCGGAGGAAGCTAACTTTAATGGACACTTGGATGAATTAAACAAGATTACAACAGAGTTGGAATCCATTGATGTGAAGATTGAAGAGGAGGACAAGGCGCTGCTTTTGTTGGCTTCATTGCCTTCATATTTTGACAACATCGTGACCACGCTTTTGTTTGGAAAAGAGACCTTAAAATTTGATGAAGTAGTTGCTGCGTTGTTGATGAACGAGACTCGGCGGGGTGGCAACGGGGTATCAAATGATGGTCAAGCTTTGGTAGCAAAAGGAGCTGGTCGGGAACGAGGACGGTCTAAAGAGAGGGGCGGCGTGTCCCAACGCTTCAAATCGAGTAGTAAAAGCTTTCGGTGTTACTACTGCGATGAAGAGGGTCATTTAAAAAGGGATTGTCCAAAGAGGAGGAAGGAAAAGAAGGACAGGAAAACACCCGTGACTGCGGTTGCAGAAAGTTCGAACCAAGCAAGTGAAGAAGACTTGTTTTTGGCAACCACAAAGAGTCTAGGTAAATTGGATTGGATATTAGATTCGGATTGTTCGTTTCACATGTGTTCAGTTAAGGAACAGTTTGATACGTATCAAACTTGTGATGGGGGTGCTGTGAAGATGGAAAATGGTGCACGGAGCAAGATTGCAGGGGTCGGAACAGTGCAAGTTCGCATGTTTGATGGTGTGGTGAGAACATTAACTAGAGTGAAACATGTACCGGGTCTAAAAGGAAATTTGATTTCATTGGGGGCTTTAGATTCAGAAGGCTGCCGTATTTTTGCTCAAGGTGGAGTGTTAAAAATTTCTAGGGGAGCAATGGTGGTAGCAAAAGGAGTTTTGTGAAAGGGCTTGTATAAACTTGTTGAAAAAGATTTGACACGGAAGGTGTTAGAAGGAAAAATTACAAGTGCAATGAGCGGAGCATTTCCATGGAAGAAGTGGGTGACGTTTGAAGCTTCTCCAGTTGGTGGAAACTGTGACCTCGCCGGAACGAGCGAGGTGGAGCCGGACCAAGTTTTATTATTTAATCAAGGTGGAGTTTGTTGAGGTATTTTGATTAAATAATTGAAACAAAAAAGAAAAAAAAAGGATGAAATTTGGTGGAAACAACCAAGAAGTGGCAGGAGAGCCTTTAGGAGTTTTGTTTTCTTTCTCTTGGAGGTGTGAGCTAGATTATTCCCCACTATTGTGTATTTTGCTATTTAAAAGCCATGCAACAATACCGTAGGGAGGGGAAGGAAAAAAGAGGAAGGTTAAGAGAGAGGTCTACACAAGATATCACCAACATTGTGTGAGTGAGTGTAGGGAGTAACTGATTTTAGTTACTCGAAAAAATACATCCAGGTGTAGGGTGTGAAAAGTCTATTTATAAGTGTCTGGTATTTAGCACTTGTAAACAGGGAGAGTTTTTTGTATATCGTTCTGAAATAGTGAAGATATAATTTTTCTCTCATATTTTCTTCTTGTGTAGTGTGTTATTTATTTTTCACGTTCTTGATATTTTTAATAGTTTTACGCGCTTAAAATCCCAACAACACGGCCATATTTACCCTGCCATGTTTACCACATTATCACATTTCAATTGCCACACTATCATCCATCGCTGCCAGCCACTAGAGTACGATCGCGGATCACCAACGTACGTTTGAATGATCATATTGTCATATAATATTGTAACCATTTTTCCATGACATTGACAATGCGTACTCTAACATCATACTGCCATTATACTGCTATTTTTGGTCTTAAAAGACTTTGATGGGTATATCCTTATACCCGACCCGGATAACCGAAAGGGACAGGTCAAAACATGACCGGTCACTTTTATCAAGTCACCAAATGATGTTAACTCTTCGATTGGGACGGGTCAAAAATTGACCGGTCACTTCCACTAAAAAAGTGACCAGTCACATTTTGGGCGATAGCCATTTCGCCACTTAATATTGCGAAGGATATTCCAGAGGACCAAAGAGATGGGTTGAACTCAAGAAATGACCGGGTAACCTTTGAGGAAAGGTGACCGGTCATGTTGCGCTACTTGAGGAGGGCAATCAACATCAGAGGCTAGAGGACACCCCGCCGCTCATCCATCACGAGGCAAACAGTGAAGGGAATGATTGGCGTTTTGCAGGATTGATTGGATTGAGAATATCCATGTTAGTCTTTGATTGAACAGTGCATGTATTGGCTTGTAGTTGCTATATTCATTGATTG